ATTCTAAGATTTTGTATATCATACTTATTTCCATGTTTACCAAACTGAAGGAACTCTTCTCTTTTGTTGTCCATCCCTGTTTTTCAGGGAATGTTAGTGAGAACACACCCATCAATCTACAAGTACCCAGGGATCTGTCTCAAGCTTATCTTTCTGGAAAAGCAGTGCCTGCTGATGCCATAGTTCTTTCTGTTAACAAAATCTCTATGCTTCTGTTGATACCTTTAAAATAATTGTTTTGGTGTAACTTAATTCTCATGAAGGAAATCTGGTTTGCAAGGAGTGGATCTCATACTGTATAACGAAGCACACTCTCTCAGATCTTCTCAAATAGTAATAAACTGTGCTGCTTTCTGAATGTTCTGGAGAACAATTTCTGTGTTGAAAAATTGCTATTGGAATGAGTGGTCACATTTCTTGTTTTGCCACATTTCATAGAATCACAGAATCACCAAGGTTGGAAAAGACTCACAGGATCACCCAGTCCAACCATCTACCTATCTCCAATAGTTCTCATTAAACCATATCCCTCAACACAAAATCCAAACATTCCTTGTACACCTCCAGGGTCGGTGACTCCACCACCTCCCTGGGCAGCCCATTCCAGTGCCTGACCAGTCTTTCAGAAAAGTAGTATTTCCTGACATCCAGCCTGAATCTCCCCTGGTGCAGCTTGAAGCCATTCCCTCTGGTCCTATCACCAGTTACATGAGAGAAGAGGCTGATCCCAGCTCACTACAAGCTCCCTTCAGGTAGTTATAGAGAGCAATAAGGTCTCCCCTGAGCCTCCTCTTCTCCAGACTGAACAATCCCAACTCCTTCAGCCTCTCCTCATCAGGCCTGTGCTCCAGACCCCTCACCAGCTTTGTCGGCCTTCTTTGAACCCGCTCCAGGGCCTCAATGTCTTTCTTGCAGTGAGGGGCCCAAAACTGGACACAGTATGGGAGGTGCGGCCTCACCAGAGCTGAGTACAGGGGGACAATCACTTCCCTGTTCCTGCTGGAAATGCTGTTTCTGATGCAAGCCAGGATGCCATTGGCCTTCTTGGCCACCTGTGCACACTGCTGGCTCATGTTCAGCTGAACATCAATCAATACCCCCAGGTCCATTTCCACTACACAGTCTTCCAGCCACTCTGCCCCAAGTCTGTAGCATTGCCTGGGGTTGTTGTGGCCAAAGTGCAGGACCTGGCATTTGGCCTTGTTGAACTTCTGCCCAGATCCCTCTGTAGGGCCTCGCTACCCCCAAGCAGATCAACACTTCCAGCCAACTTGGTGTCATCTGCAAACTTACTGAGGGTGCACTCAATGCCCTCATCCAGGTCATCAGTAAAGATATTGAAGAGGACAGGCCCGTAGTTTAGTAGAATTAAACTGACTGCTCCTAAAATCAGAAGTACGTTTGGGAAATTTTGGCTTGCTAAGTAACCTTAATATTTGAAGAAAACATACATTTTGATTGAAAACGAAAATTCAGAAATTATTCTGAATTATTAACTTTGATCATGTACTTTGAGCATTCTTGTATACCTACTGCATCCCAGATTATATTTCTCACCTCTTCTTTGCTTGCCTGAAAAGTTTGAGCTATCTACTTCTTTCTTGTCCTTGCAAGCATTTTTTTCAAGATCTTATGCATTTCTTTTTTTAAATAAATTGCAAAAGTTCTTGGAAAAAAAGCACCTCACAGGCTGATTGAATTTTGCCTGTGACATCACTAGTTGGATTCAGAAAATGCCTAGAATTGACATCACTGATTTCTATTTCAGTAGGAAACTGATGACATGGTTTGGCAGGGGGCTGACAAAATATTTGTATGTGTACCATCTCTCAGACTTTGATGCTCCTCTCACCAAGATTAGAGGAAGTGATAATATTTTTGTGGCTGCTGTTTCACCTGAAGAGCTTCTACAAGGCAGAGAATGTGAAGTATCATTATGACATGTTTACATTTGTCTTCACTTGCAAAAAAAAAATTGAAGAATTGTTTAGAAGATCCGTGTAAGTAAAAATTTGGGTTGGATTTTGCAGGACAAGCTGTAACTGCTCAGTGCCAGGTAGCACACAGTGCAAAGAGGTCTCCTACTAAGAAAGGTTTTCAGGTCCAATTGAGATAAGAATATTTGTAGTGGAAAAATTCTGTGCAAATAACAACTAGTGGGAGAGGTCAGAGATCTCACCATCTTTCATGCTTTCTTTTCCACTTCAGAGACTTTGAGTGAATTTAGTGGGTGAGAAGATATAACGTTTGTTCTGATAGGGCATTTTTAATTGTCTTTAGTTTTTGAAGTCGTAGCTCTAATTAAGATAAAGTGCCTGTCTTAATGCAACAATGAGGAGAGATCAGTATGTGATTAGAACCGGAGCAGGTGATTAATGATCATACTTGGAAATTGCTTTAGTTCCTGTAGGGTTTCAATCATCTGCTCTAGTTGAAGTTCCGTAGCCTGGGACTATGATAATGATAAAATTCCACACGTTATATTTATGCATAGGATCAGCCTTCCAAACACGATGTACATCTAGGAGAGAAGGTATATATTCTATGTCCAAAACTGGCAGGGAAGTATGAAGCGTTTCTTCTCCCTTTGTCTCTCTTTTTTCAGAAATAAAGTCATTTGTGGATCAAACAGGATGGCAAACTTTGCTAACAGGAGATAGCCGATACTCTATTTCTTAAACATGGTGAAGGCTTCTCCTGTTTCCCAAAAGCAGCTATTTCTAGTAGCTCAGCAGGCAATTACAGGCAATTCCCATGCTTAGCTCTTCTAGTTTACTATTATTTAGATAAATAAAGGCTTGTAGTTTTATCCTTCTTTAAGTCTTCCTGGATAAACAGAGTGGGTGTGTTAGATAAACGCATGCAAATACAGTACCGCTCCAAGAGAAACAGCCAGCACGAAATGCACTTTAAAAAGTTAACTTGCTGATTCTGCTCTGAGAAATAATAAATATCAATTTCTAAGCTGAATTTAGAGACCAGACAAAAGAATGCAGGAAAACACAACCGAACAGCCAAGGCATAGCATGAGGAGCATGTGGAGTGGTATTGAAGGAACCTGACGATACCCTCTTCATTCCATACTTTCCTGTTTAGTTTACATGAATTTTGGTCCTTTTCTACGTAATATGGGATGATGTGTGTTTTTGTCGTGTGCTTTTTTCTTTTCCCTGCCATTTATTACATAAGATGTAGGCACAGTTTCTATAGATTTCTCTGGGGATTATATTCTTGATTAAAAACCCAGGTGTGTTGAAGATGGCTTTTGTACAGCTCACAGCACGATAACGCATGAGCCTCGTGTCCAAACTTTCAGGGCAAGGAAACTGACCCAGCTGCAGTCAGTTAGTTCAATGAAGCTTAGCAGTGTTGCAGGCAAGCTGTATGGTATATTCAGCATGTCTATGTGTGCTTATAGCTGCAGTCGCTCCAAATGGCAAAGAACCTTCACTGAAAAGCAAATAGTGGCAACGGCTGAAAACTGAGAGCCCTGGTTTGCAGAATTCTCTGCGGCACTAAAACTAAGCATGTGCCATTTCAATGGAGTTAATACAACTGAAGTCATTCGATACATCATTGCTAAACGTAGATGAACAGAGTATGTGCCCAGATTTCAGCAAGAACTAATTTCTTTAAGTGACACAGGTTTTTGACATAGGTGACGGTCTTTTCCTTCACTTTTTGGAACATTATCAGCACAGTGGGACTTCCATGGTGAGCACCAGTGAGTGCTTTGCTGATTTGGAGGGGGTGCTGACTCAGGAAACCCAGAGCTTCAACAGCAACAGCAAATTCACACAGAAAAATACTCAAACATGACAGTTCACGTGAGATTACAACAGCATTTCAAGAGGCCACATGTTATTGTTGGCAGATGGGGGGGAAAGAAAGTGATCAATTATTCAGGATCTGTTACGTTAATGTTTCATCTTGTGTGCTTCTATTAGAATGCACGTGACACGATCACAAGTGATGTCTGATGGTGCTAAGAGCCAGCTGACTTTATGAAAGCAACGAGGCCGTACAGAACTGGTATTGCTTTCCAGGGGCTGGTAACATTCGGCAGCGTCCCGGTCAAAACTTGAACGGGCTCTGATGGAGTTTGGGTATTTCCTTCTCTCAGACAGCAGGGGCAGCATTTGCTGTATATTGGACTTGCTGCGCAGCCCTGCAAGCAGCTGTCTCGCCCTGCCAGCTATCTATATTAAACCACAAAACACATGAGATGCTGCTTGGCAAAAAAAAAAAAAAAAAAAAAAAAAAAGTGAATCTTAAACATCTTAAAGTTACAACTCAGAAATCTTTGTTTTGAAAGACGGTTCTTCGAGCCCTACAGCAGTTTGTGGGTGAGAACTCCTGCTGCTGCCCCAGTATCTCCCTGAGCAGCACCACCAATTTCAGTCTCACTGCAACGCTGGAGACCTCAGCCAAGGCATCATGTAAAACACCCCTGCTTCCTCTGCACGGGATTTGTGTCACTGTTGCACAGTGGTGACATCTGAGCTATAAGTAGTGAAAAAAAGCCCCAGAGGGGCCCGAAGCAAAGGTAACATTGTCCATTATTGTACAAAATTTCCCCCCCCCCCCCTTTTTTTTTTCCAACATTGCCAGGTCATTGTTCTCAACAGATGCATGCTACCGTTACGTATCAAATAATAACCCACTCTTCCTCAGTTGTTCAAGGTTAGACACAAAAATCCCTTTTTCCTGTTAGCAATAATGCCTTCCTCTGAACGTAGCACATCCCCAAACCTGTCCTTTGGCTGAGAAACAAACTCAGCGCTGCATAAACACTCAGATCCTGAAAATCCACCTGGAGAGATGGGGGTCATGCAAACAGTGTGGGGATAACCCCCATAAACCCAGCGCTGTGTATTTGGAATGAATTTCAAGGAATGTGTCATTTCACCAATAGTTTTTAAAGGATTTGTGAGTTTGGAAGCTGAAGGGTTGGCGTTAGGTCCTCTGCATCCAGGAGGACTGGATCCCAGAACGCTGCGATGGAATGTGTGAGCTTTTCTGATGGGCCGCGCCGCAGAAGTTGAGGTTTCACACCAGCTCTGTCTCCTTGTGCTTGGGGCCACTTTTATTCCCAGAGTGGTGTCTGGGAACGTGGGCAGCACAGACCTGGCAGCACAACCGTGCGTTGCTTTAACGGACCTGATGGGCCCAGCTATTTCTGCACCTCACAGAAGCACAGAGCCACAGGGGTTGGAAGGGATCTCTGGAGATCCCCCCGTCCAACACAGCCCACCTCCAGAACTCCTCCCGCAGGGCCAGACCTCTCAGCGGCCGCCTTCGGTCCCAATGAGGAGCGGGGCAGGAGCAGCGCCGAGCCCGCGGCTTTCCCGGTGACGGACACCCAAGTAACTCCGCTCGGGGCCGCAGCTCCTCCATCCCAACCCCGACCCAACGCGTGAGAAGGCACCGCTTGTTTTTCTACCGCCCGTTCCAGAGCGATCCAGCCGTCAGAGCCGCGCACATCCGCGGTACATCGCGCAACTCCCTCGCGCTCGCCGTTAGCTCCGGCCAACGGCGGAGGGAGGGAGAGCGACGGGCGGCTCTCCGCACCGCCCTGCGGCCCGGCACCCAGGTACGGCGGAGCGAGCGCTCGGCGAAGGGGGATTTCCTCGGTCCGGTCCCCCGCGCGGCCGCTGGGAGGCTCCGCCGCTCGCCCCGGCCCCGGCGGCGCCGCCGCCGCGCCACCCGCCCCCCGCCCCCGCAGGGCCCGCTCCGAGAGCCCCGCACGCACCGCGGGGCACGGCCGCGGGCTGCGGCGGCGGCGGCGGAGGAGGAGAAGGAGGAGGAGGAGGAGGAGGCGGCGGGAGCGCGGCACGCAGCCGGGGATGGGATATACAAAAACACAAAGGAAAAGCGGCCGGACTGCTCGGGGGGCAGAAGGCTGCAAGTTTGTAAGTGCAACTCTCCGCTTGTGATCGCTGGCAGAAGAGGGGCTCGGTGTTTGTTGGTTCGGTTCTTTTTTTTTTTTTTTTTTTTGTCTCCAGTGCTTTTCTTGAAACTGTACTCGAAACTGTTCGCTGTCTGGGAGTCTACGGGAAAGTACGCGAGAGGAGTTCTTTGCCTGGGGTTGTAGCTCGCTTCGTTATTGCTAAGGGGGGAAATAAGCACCGAAGGCGCTTCGGCTTTACCCAGCGGCCGCGAGCACCGATCGCACAGCGGCGGGCAGCGCTCCGGGACCCCGCGGAACCCCGCAGCGGCGGCGGACGGGCGCAGCCCGAAGAGGAGCGGCGGAGCGAGAGCACAAAGACGGGACCGAGACCGGGACCGAGCCCAGCCCGGACCGACGGACCGCGGGTTTCACCGCCGAGAAGCCGGCGGAGCTCCGAACCACACCTCGGGGGGGGGCCGGGGCAGCGCTCGGCGGTTCCTTTCCTCGCATCAATTTCCACTTCAAGAAATAACCCCCGCCCGCGCCCGAAATAAAATAAAATCAGTAAACCTGCCCGGTCCCACTCCTTCCCCGGGGAGCCTTCCTCCGCCCGGCGCTTCGTTTTGGAGGCAGCGGCTCCTTTGATTTTTATTTTTCTTCCTCTATCGGACCCCCCCCCCCCCCCCCCCCCCCCCCCCCCCCCCCGCCTCCATGTGGCAGTGAGCGCGGAGCGGACCCATCCGCAGGGCCGAGGAGCGGCAGCGAGCGATGGGCGACACGGCTCCCCCCCAGGCCGCGGGGCTGGCGGCCGGGCTGCTGGGGGGGGGCCCGGCGGCGCCCCGCGTGCACAGCGCCATCGTGGAGCGGCTGCGGGCCCGCATCGCCGTCTGCCGCCAGCACCACCTCAGCTGCGAAGGACGCTACGAGCGCGGCCGCGCCGAGAGCTCCGACCGCGAGCGGGAGAGCACCTTGCAGCTCCTCCACCTCGTGCAGCAGGGGCAGGGAGCCCGCAAGGCCGCCAAGCACCCCAAGGCGGCCGCGGGAACGGCGGGAGGAGGAGGAGGCGGCGCGGCCGCCCCGACCGCCGCCGCCGCCGCCGCCGCGCCCCCGGACTACCACCAGCACCTCCTCAGCAACGGCGGCATCAACGGGGAGCAGCCGGCGGGGGAGCAGCGCGCCTCGGCCCTGCTGGCGGTGAGTCACAGCGCCCCCTACCGGCGGGAGGCGGCTCTCGGCGGACCCCCGGACCCCGAGCCCCCGCCGGCCCTCGGGCGAGGCGCGAAGGCGGGGCCGGGCCCGGCGTGCCCTGCAGCGTGAGGCGAGGGGTGAGGGGTCTGGGGCGGGAGAAGGGCGTCCCGCGTTCCTGGAGATGGGATTGTGGGGGCTGCAGCCCAGCGTGTGGTGCCACAGGCAGCCCCAGCAGCTCCACGCCCGGACTCCAGCGATGTGAAAACGTGGTCTGAGCTCCGTGCTCCGCTCCGTCCCAGGGCGTCGGGCAGCCTGAGGCGGCCAGGGCAGCTGTGTGCCACCGGGGCAGCGTCCGTGTTGGCTCCGTCAACGTTTATGCCTCAGATTAGACAGGCTGAGCATCTGATCGTGTCCTTTAACCTCATTACCTCTGAGGTGGGCAGAGCTCACGGCGGTGCCCAGCGGTCACCGAGTTACAAAGGTTCTCCGGGTTGCAGACAACGCACTGTGACCTTTTTCAACTGGAAGTCGCTCTGGATGTGCCTCAGCCCCATCTCTTGTTGCTGCAGGATGAGCTGCGCTGTGTCCCAGCCCATCCTGGGCACACATGAGGCGCTCAGAGCCCTGACAGGCACGAGGCTGATGTATGAGCAGCCCAAAATAGGCTGCTCCCTACCGTCAACCTGTCCTTCTGAGTGCCTGACTGATCCTAACCCGGGATCTCTGTGGTTACTTTCGCCCCTTTTGCTGCACTGAGTGGGGTGGTGACGTCAGTGCCAGTGCCATAACGTTTTGTCCGAGGGGAGCCAGGGTGCTTCCACCTGACTTCAGTGTACAGATTGCATCTCCCTGCGTTCCTTGTCACAATCGAGAAGGCCGTTATCTTATTTTTGCAGTGCATATTAACGAAATGCTTTGCACTTGTCTTACAGGAATCAAAAAAAAACAATAAGGCTTTTGCATAACAATGTGCGTCCCAGAAAACTCCTCTTTCTGAAGTCAGGCAACAGGCCTGTGTGTTGTTCTTTTTGTTTTTGTTTTTTACTATCTGTTACTATTATTATGAAAGAGCTGAAGGCAGCTGCTTGAAACTGCTAAGTGAAACAACCCCAAAGAAAACACCCACAGAGGGGCTGCCTCTGTTTCTCAGAGGGCTTCTAACCTTGCTCTTTGCCAGATGATGATGCCAGGACGGCCCTTGTGCCGTTGTGCATCAATCTGATGAAGGAAGGCTTTGCTGAAGCGCCCCTCATTTTGCGTGCTTGCATTCAGTAATCCTGCTGACAAGGTGGGTGACTTCACCCAGCTTGATGAAACTGAGCCACGTTTCGGCACTGCAGAATGGCTGGCTCGTGGAGCTGCTCCGTGCTGATGGTGTCACTGCGCATCCCACTCTGCTCCACACAGCCGTTCCTCGTGGCTGCTTTGTAGGGCTGCCTTGCTAAGGAGCAGAGAAAGGCTTTGGCTCCAAGTCACATCTCTGTGTAAAGAAGGCACGTGTTCTCAGCACTCCTTAGAACATTTTTGCAAATGTTAAATTTGACTGAGTAGGATGAATTCAGGTGGTTGAGGGGCATCCACCAGGTAGCCCAGCATTGTGTTCCTCGTCAGAGGGCAGCTATGGGCTGGAAGTGTTGCTTTTGTTCCGCCCGTAGCTGGAGGAGAAATGTGCTCTACCAGGTATCCCAAGGGCACTTATAACAGGAAGGATGAGGCAGAGTGAGCCCATAAATAGATGGGGAAGAGACATCTATGAGGCTACAGGATCCATCCTCTGCGGGATGTTTCTGGAGGGGAAATCCGGTGGAAGCCTTATTTGCACCGATGGTTATTCCTATCATTTCAGGCCTTTTGCTGAGAGCAGATGGCAGATTGGAGGCGCGTGGGGTCCTGGAACGTGGCACAGTTCCGAGCCTCAGCTGTGGGAAGTGCAGCTCTGGCACGAGGAGGCACAAGGCGGGAGCGTGTGAGTCTCACGCTGAGGATGTGGGGGTTTGACACATCTCTGACTCCACGGGGGGATTGTAGAGCTCCACCTGCCTTGCTACAGCTCTACCAGGTTAAAAAAACTCAGCATAGATAAGCGTGAAGGCGGTCATAGCTCTCTGGGGAGTTCTGGCTATCAGGGCGCTCTTTGTTCTGCAGAACCCAAGATTGTCCCCACGCTTCCTCCAGTGAGAATAGCCAGGCTGTTCCCCTCGCTTTGCAGATCCCTCTGCTCTTGTTACAAGCGCGCCTGCCACGTTTGGTGGCACAGGATGGGTCGTTTACATAGCTGGGCTCCAGAGTAAATATTTGACACTTGATAAGGTTTGAAACAGAGTTCACTTGAACATATCAAAGAGCTTGAAGTGATAATCTGATGTTGTTGATGCTATTATTTGATAATTGTCTGTTCCCAGTGGACAGTTTAAAACCGGCAGAAGAGAGACTTTGGAGTGGGGTAGGGTTTGGGCTCAATCTGGCAGCGTTACTTTGCTTTTTGAGAAAGCATCTTTGGCAGCAGCATTTTCTAATTGGAGAACAGGGACCAGATTTCTGAGCTGGACTGATGGGTGTGGGTGCATGTGGAGAAGAAATTTATTCTCCTGGACACGGCAAGGAAAGCTTTTGTGCTTTCCGCCTCCCCGCATTTCCCAAGAGCTGACATTTGTTTATTTATGTGGTAGTGTTACTTTTCATGGTGTGGAGTGAAACAGATAAAATATTCTGTCGTTCTTTTATACATACATCTGCATGTATGTATCTACACCCTCTAGCACTTAGCTGTTTATATTATTTACATTCTGTATAAACTGTTAGCTCTGGAAGACATTCCTCAGTGGCTTAAGCATCGAAGGGGTAATACCAAAGTTCTTGCGCCAGGATTGCAAGTCCCCAGTGGCTATTCTGTTCTTTCATTTTTCTGACACCATTTCTTTTCTCTGTGCAAGCCAGGAGCACTGCTTCTCAGGCAGTGGTGTATTATTCTGGTCGTTGTACTGCAGCCATTGCTCTGGTGGCTGACATCTTCCTCTGAGCGTGTTAAGCGGTGTTTGTCATCAGTCCCAGTCCCAGGTGACTCGTTCTATTTCTGCTTCTCTCATAGTTTCACTGAATTTGGGATTGTCACTGTATTCTGTGAATGCGGCCTGCTCCCCGGGTGAAAAAGAAAAGGGAAGGAGGGATGTGGGTTGATTCCTTCTGTCCCACTACGTTCTCAAAAACAGCAGTACAAATCTGGAAGAGTCGTGGGTTTCTCCTCAAAGACATCAGTGGAATTCAGGGATATCTATCTAGTTCTGAGAGCCAGGTTTCATAGAATCATAGAATAGAATATCCCAAGTTGGAAGGGACCCGTAAGGATCATCGAGTCCAACTCCGGGCAGTTCTGACATAGTCCTTGGACTCCTACATGCTATTGCTGGGAGGGCATTCAATGTCCTCTAATATCATTAATAACTCACCAAGGGACCTTGGCCATCAGACACCATACATAGGTCTATATAGGTCTATAGGTCTGTAGCTCCCATCCTACACAACACCTGCCTTCTCTGTTGCTTGTAAAGGTTTGGCTTGTAAAACCTTGACTGAGGTTGTTATTTTATGTCGAGATCCTATGCTTGTTTAAGAGCACAGAAGCCCTGACATTGTTTCCTAATCTTTTTTTATTTGTGATCTACACTACATTTTTTAAGGTTTGGTGTGTTGGCATCAAAGATCCTCAAGTATTTTAAATGGAAGGATTTGTGTGCTGGTATTTGTAGCCCAAATTTACACTTCCTGAGCTTCTCTTGTATTGTTTGCCTTCTTGCCAGTGGGCTGCCAGGGCACCCTGCAGAGAAGTTGCATTTTCTGGTTCTGGATGTATGTAATTTTTGGAAGCTGTTTGTTTGAAAGCGAACAGAGTGAGGCAATCAGCCATGGGGTGAAGCGATGTTACGGTGCGGTGAGTGAGAGTGGATTAAAGCACAGACCATTCTGCAAAGCTGGGGTGGGATCTTTGGAGAAACAAAGTTTGGTGCCAGGGTGACAAAATGTTCTGTTTTTGAGGTGGAGGACCGCTGTCTGCTCCTTGTGCTTCTGCGGGAGCAAAGCTGGGTTTGGAGAAAGGCAATTTCTGTGGCTGAGTCAGATAAAATGAGTCACATTGCCTTTGTGGGTAGAAAACTTTGAATTGCTGTCGTGGGCCTTTTTGCCTGCTGGGAGCCGTTTGGTTAGGATGGACCTGGGCACCACTTAAGATCCAAGTTCCCCTTGGCTGTGAGAACACTGTCTGAACCAAAATGAAGGCAGCTCCCCGGAGGCAGCGTAAAGGTTATTGTTTAATGAAAAGTTCAGCAAGTGAACTTGTTAAGTGTCTGCTAGTTTAGGAGCCTTTTCAGCCCTAATTCTTCAGTCAAATGGTTTACTCTGAAGCTTTTTAACCTCTGAATACATTTAATGAAAGTTTCCTCCTTTCTGCAGTTTCTGTAGTGAGTCCCTTGTGCGTAGCACCGCAATGACTGAGTAAAACAGCTTCTGTTTCTTCTGTACTGAGAAATGTGACTCCAGCAAAAATGTTAGCTGCTCTGTGGGAAAATCTGAACCTTAGAAAGGTACATCTGAGTCAGAGAAGCTGCTTTGCTGAAACTTATCTCACTGTTATTGCTCCTCCTGTGGCAATGAACGCTGTCTGCAGAAGGCCTATGTGGTCTTCAGTTAGCCTGCAGTGACCAAAAAAACCCCAGCAAGTAGGTTAGTCAGTTAGCAGGTTAGGAAAGACCATAACATGCCTCTCTTCCTCTTAACTGCTGACAACGGTCCTTTTCACCAAGGTATCAGCAGAGGCCAACTTATTCAACTTAACGGTAATAAGAGACAGTTATTTTCTGTTTGGTTTTGTTTTGTTTTAAATGAAAGCACAAACTACTTACTCCTCAGATTTCTCATGAAAAGTCTTCTGTAGCCACTTGAGAGCCATGTCAATTTGTAATACCTTGTCAAGTTCTTCCAGAGTATTCTTAGATGCAGGTAATCAGTCCATA